ACATTGCTTATGGCTGTTTTCCTGCTAAAATTGAGTCCTCATGAGAGACATTGGCAACCCACAAAGCCTGAGATATTCACTATCTGGTCCTTTATAGGTAAAGCTTGCCTACCCTGGTTTAGCACCAGGTGGCTTTGTGCCACRCTCCTCCCCTACAGTCCTGGTGGTGTCATGAACTTCTACTGACCTAGAAGCCTGAGTCTCCCCACTGCCAGAACCACTGGTGGGTTAGTCTTCAAAGGCTGGGAGATTGAGGAAAACCATCTTTTGTTCTTTGGAATGTTACAGTGATCTCCAAACCCTGACACCCTGTCCCCACCAGCCTGACAAAACACACACACACACACACACACACACACACACACACACACACACACATTGCTGTTCCAGATTCTCTATGAGGTCATGAGATTGTTTTTTTCTTTATATTTTTGGTTATTATTGCTACTTTTATTTATTAAAATGGGAAATGACTTTGGTAACTTTCAGAAATGCTGATGAACCATAGTTACATAGATTAATTTCTCAGATTACTTAATTACCACATTAGATCCTTCCCATTGCCTCTTCCCCCACCCCTTCTGTCTCTCTTTCTCTATCAGACTTGAGGCATACACACTGACAGTTTCTTCCTCACTTCCCACTTACTTCTCAGCCCACCACAATCTGGAGCTGACTCCCACTACAGCACTGAAACTGCACTCATAAAAATGTCAACCATCTCATAATCACCAAATCTAAGGACACTTTTCAGCCCTACCTTGACTTCTGAGAAGCATTCTGCTGACATTGCCCTTGTTCATGGAAGAACACTCTTCATTTCTCTGATATGCTTCCTTCTTGTTCTACTAACTTTTTGTATGCACCTGGTGCCTCTAGCTTCTTACCCATTAGCGGATCTCACAGTGCTGGTTACTGGTTATGCTCCACTGTCTCAGTGCCGCACTCACCCTCCTGTACTGTGTTTTGAACCAGGAGTCAGTTGTGTGTCTCCCAGCCTCCCTGGTCAGCTGGCTTCCTGTTAGATTCTGCCAGTGGGAGGCACTGGTAGGAGATCAGAAGGCAGGAAAAACTCAGAAGCTTCCTGCTTCAGCCTTTAACTGGGTTGTCAATTGTGGTAATTGCTGGTAGACTTAGCAACAGGAAAAATGAGTGATTCTGGACTCCAGCCTCCTGAGGAGAAATACCTCCTCAGTGATTCCAGCCTTGAATAGATTGAATCTGACTATGACAGTCTCTCACTGGGCAGCAGCAGGTGTAGGTGTGGATTCCAGCTCAGGGACTTTGGCAGCTTCTGATTCCYAGGTATCCATCTCTCCTTTTTGAACTTCCAGCCAAGCCTCTTTCTCCTTTTTGTAACTTTTTCCCTTTTAATACCTTTAAAGCCAATTCTCTATATTAAATTCTCTCTGTCTAAAGTACATGGACTGAATGTGTTCTCCTGTCTGGATCCTGGAAAATAAATGGCATGAGATTTGGGGTTTGACCTATGCAGATTTACATCTTTGTTTTACTTCCTCTCTTTTAGTAAGATACTGAGAGAGACTACATTCATATAACTTTTATTATGTTGTTACAATGTTCTATTTTATTTTATTTTTTTAGAGAGAATTTTAAAATTTATTTTTTCGTTTTCGACAGATACAACATCTTTATTTGTATGTGGTGCTGAGGATCGAACCCAGGCTGCACACATGCCAGATGAGCGTGCTACCGCTTGAGCCACATCCCCAGCTCAATAGTTCTATTTTATTATTCCTGCTGTTAATCTTTTTTATTATTTTTTTTCTGGTACCAGGGATTAAACCCAGGAGTGTTTAACCACTGAGCCACATCCGCAGTCCATTTTTATTTTTTATTTTAAGACAGGGTCTTGCTAAGTTGCTTAGGGCCTTGCTAAGTTGCTGAGACTGGCCTTCAGCTGTTAATATTTTTATTGTAGGTTTGTATGTATGGGAAAAAACATATTTATTTATTTAGAGAAATCGATCAGAACTATCTGTGGTTTCAGGCATCCACTGGGGGTCTTGGAATGTTACCCCTATGGATTAGAAGGGACTACTGATCCTTCTTTTTCTTTCTCCTTCTTCTTGGCTAATTTTATCAGTGACCTCTGCTTCAGTTTTTGTGCTCACCACTCCCACAATCAGGTTCTTCACCCACACCTGGGATCCTGATCCATACACCTCACTTATCCTGGGGGGGGGGCAGCTGGCTGTTCCAGTGGCATCCCAAATTCAACATGCACAAAATCAAGTTCAAGCTCTTTGTCTTTAAACCTACTCTCATGGCATCTCTTCTGCTTCAATTCAGTCCATCACTGAGCACCCACCCAGACACCGGGAGAGAAACCTGAGTATTATTCTTGCCTTCTCCATTGCTTCATCTTCCACTTGTAATCWGTAACCAAACTCTTCAGGTTCTACCTCCTAAGTATCTCAGTGTTCCATTCCCTCCATCTTCTCTGGTTATGACTTAATTCACGACCTTCTTTATCTCTCACTTAAATTATTGCCATACTACCTTCTTGTAATATGTGCATGTAACTTTTTATCTTGACTTTTTTGTTTTGTTTTGTTTTGGGTACCAGGGATTGAATCCAGGGGGACTAGGAGTGCTTAAACACTGAGCCACAACCCTAGCCCTTCTTATATTTTATTTTGAGACAGGATCTTGCTAAGTTGCTTAGGGCCTCGCTAAGTTGCTAAGGCTGGCTTTGAACTTGCGATCCTCCTGCCTCAGCCTCCCGAGTCACTGGGAGTAGCCATCACACCCAGCACACTCTAGACYCTTGACTAGCAGTTTTGCCTCTTTTCTTCCCATCCTCCAGTCAATTCTTTGAAATATCAGAACAGTTTTTCTAAGTTGCTAAAATAATTGTGTYACTCCCCAGTTTTAATATCTCTGTCATCTGTTAAGTAAGTCAGACTTTCTTTGTGGTGTGCCAAAGTCTATGTGATCTGGCTCTTGTTGAATTTCTAGTTTATTGTGATGATCCCCAGAAACAGGTAATCTTTACAACTTCCAAATCAGCTATTACAAGGGTCTCCAAAGGAAGGAGCTCCGATGCCTCTGATCTTCACACATCTGCCTACCCCATGCTCTGRAATGTTTTTCTCTTCCCTCATGTTCTGCTGTTTAAATTGTTTTTCCTTAGAGACTCTTAGGAGCTTGACTGATTAGGTCCCTCCTTTTCTCCCATTCTCAGAAAATTACTGCTTCCTGAATACACAGCACATTCTTTTTTGACTAAATTACATTGTTATGTAATTATTCATAGAAACCCCACTAGACTGTAATGCTACGGGGGTATACATTCCAAGACCCCCAGTAGATGCCTGAAGCCACAGAGTATGTGTAAATGTATATTTTAAAACATRTAATATATACTACATACAATATATTACACTATATATTACATGTTATATATTCTATATGTTTAAATATATGTTTACATACACATACACATAAGTATATATACTTAGCTCTAATTAGCTCTAATTCCTGCTGGCTGGGAGGAGAGCCTAGAGTTTCAAAGAARAGGGATTATTTCCTGCAGCCAGGGAGTCACTTCCCCAAATCCTGKCATTGTGTGATCTGGAGGGTCTAGGTGGGGAAGACATTTTCATAGAGACCTGGTGCTGATGACATGATTGAAGAGAATCTGGAGGCTGGGATTTCAGTTTCCATGTGTGTCTGGGGTAGGCTAGGACAGTGTCATTATGACTTAGAGAGGCCATGACCATTCTTTCTCTCTCTCTTCGAAGACAATGCCTCCCCTTTACTTTACCTATGTTTTTTGCATACATACCAACCTATGATAAAATTTTATTYATAAATTAGGTACAGTAAGAGATTAACATTGGCAATAGTAAAATAGAATAATTATTATATTAAAAGTTATTTTAAATACTATATTAAATGTTATGTGAAGGTAATATCTCTTAAAAATAGTTTTTTTAGTTGGACACAATACCTTTATTTCATGTTTATGTGGTGTTGAGGATTGAACTCCATGTTTCACGCATGCTAGGTGAGTGCTCTACCACTGAGCCACAAACCCAGTCCAAGGTAGTCTCTCTTGTATCTTACTGTACCATACTCAAGCATTTTTTTCTTTCCTTACAAAGCTGAGAACTTTTACCTTTTCACTTAAAGGGAACACTTTCTGGCTTTTGTACTTCTTGCCCTTTGGTATATCTGAATTGCTGCCATAACTACTCTGTGCTTTGGGTCCATTACAATGATAGTCAATCTGATGACTGAGATGGCTACTATGTGACTATACAGTGTGAATACACTGGAGAAAGAGATGATTCATGTCCCAGGCAGAACTGAGCCAGAGGGCACAAGATTTCATCATGCTACTCAGAACAGTGCACAATTTACAACTTATTGTTTATTTCTGGAATTTTCTATTTAATATTTTTGGACCCAAGTTGATTACAGGAAACTAAAACCTCAGGAAGTRCTGCTACCTTTGATATGGGGGGACTACTATAATCATCTTTGCATTTCTAGTACTGGGCCTCATCCCTAGCACCTATTACTTTTTCAATGTATTTCTACAGAATGAATTAGAACTAATGCCTGCAGGAGAATAATCTTTCTGAGAAGGAGAGGGGTTGGAAGGGAGGAAGAGGCGGGGTCTGAAGAACACTAGGAATTTGCTGAGCAAAGATGCGCCACCCACTGCAGCATTCTGCCACAAGATGGCACTGSTCTGAAGAGCCAGCAGCCTGAGGCTATGAGGAGAGCTCCACCAGGAGGCAGACATTCCTCAGCTGGCGGCTCAGCCCAGGGACACACCACACTGGACCTGGTCAAAGAGCCAAGTCTTCAGAAGGTTGCTGGCCCTAGATCTCTCCCTAGTGACTCATGATGCTGAATCCTACACTTCTGTGATTGGTTTAGCCAAAATGACAAGGGCAACTATTGGAGATGAACTGGCAAAACATAATCTAAGACTACACTCTGGGGGAGGGAGTTGGAGACCTGGGTCTGCCTGTTGGTAGCACTACCTACTGTGTGGTGTGAAGATATGGATCATGAGCAGAGCCAGGGAGCTACGCTGCTTCAGCTGCTAAGGCTTCTGTGGCTGCTGCCCCMCTCCTGGGCCACCCCTGCAGGTAAGATAATGCCTCCCCTTTACTTCCATCCTGAGGATGTTAGAGTTGGGGGATCCCATCCCCAAGAGCATGGGAAGAMGAGACTCATGCTTTTAAGTGGTGGGAAGATTTATGAGTTTATGGCAACAACTGTGGACTTGGGTGGTAAACAGTGTCAGGTGTTTTACGTGWTCCATTGAAGACACTCTCTTGAAGCAGAGATGATTTTATCCACTTTACAGATGAGAAAATGAGACTAGGGGAATTTAAGTAACTTGTGCAAGTTCACACAATAGGAAAGTTAGCAGAACTGAGATTTGAGCAAAGCAAAAGTTATTTCCATTCCTCCACTCAGGATATGACTCGACTCTTGTCAACTCACCTTGTGATTCTGGAAAAGTCTCTCAACTTTATTGCTCCTTAGTTTCTTCTCTGTAAAGGACCTGGCAGAATGGAAGTGTAACCTGGAAGATCCCTCTCACTATAAATGTCTGTGTATTAGGCATGGGGTAGAAGGTTTCCTGCTGGCTTGGGGGGTTTCAGCCTAGAATTTTAAAGAAAAGGGATTATTTCCTGCAGCCAGGGAGTCACTTCCCCAAATCCTGTCATTGTGTGATCTGGATGGAGGGTTTAGGTGAGAAAGACATTTTCATAGAGACTTGGTGCTGATGACATGATTGAAGAGAATCTGGAGGCTGGGATTTCAGTTTSCATGTGTGTCTGGGGTAGGCTAGGACAGTGTCATTATGACTTAGGGAGGCCRTGACCATTCTTTCTCCTTCTCTTCTAAGACAGAGAAGCTATCCATGGCTTTCTAGAGTCCAGAGGGTGGCCTTCTGTGAATTACACAAAGGTATCCCCTTTGGGAGGAGGACCCCTGTGCTAGCTGCATGGCTTGGTGAGCACTGTGTGGGCTGCGTTTCAGTTTTCACCTGTCCTCTCTGCTGGTGCTTCTGTGACATAAACACACAGCCAGTAGGCCGACTCTGAATTGGTCGCTTAAGACGTTAGACCTTTCTGCACTTTACAACTTTAAACAGTTGTCTTTTTATGGGCGAGGAAGCTTTGGAGCTATTCCTTAACTTTTTTCTTTACCCCAGTTGGACTAGGGAGACTATGTGACAGGCACAGGAGCCTTCCACCACACCTCTGCCTCATGGCCTGAGAAGGGAGGAAGCGCCAGGGGTGGTGGTGCACGCTTGTAATCCCAGCCACTCAGGAGGTTGAGGCAGGAGAAGGGCAAGTTTGAGATCATCCTGGSTAACTTGGTGAGACCCTGTCTCAAAATAAAAAGTAAAAAGGTCTGGGGATGTAGCTCAGTGGAAGAGCACCTCTGGGTTCAATCCTCAGTACTCCACAGCAGCTCCCCCATCCCGCCAAAACAAACAAACAAAAAAAGTAAAGGAGGATGCTCTCACCTCCCTGAAACTTGCCCTGTCCCTCTCTTTGCAGCTCCTGCTCCACTGTGGCGGGATGAMCTGCAAAACCACACATTCCGACACACTGTGTTCTGCCAGGATGGGAGTCCCAGCATAGGGCTCACTGAGACCTACGACGAAGACCTGCTTTTCGCCTTCGACTTTTCCCGGAATACTCGGGTGCCCCGCCTCCCTGAATTTGCTGACTGGGCTCAGGATCAAAGAGATGCCTCTGCCATTGTATTCGACAAAGGATTCTGTGAAGCAATGATTGAGCAAATAGGCCCCAAACTTGAAGGAAAAATCCCAGTGTCCAGAGGTCAGGGTTTTTGGGGGGCAGAGGTTGGAGGTCTGCACTCTTACCCTCATTAATCTATGCACTGAGCTATTCCCCTCCCACCCTTCCCATCTCTTAGGTTTTCTCGTTCTCCCCTAGGATCTTTCTTTTTCTGCAAGTTAAAGTCTGCACCCTGCCCTCTGTGGTGGGTAGATTGTACCTGGCATGTAGTAGGCATTCAAAACCATTTATTAAACTTAATGATTTCAACAGGGACCAGTTGATGCCTACTGAATATTAGCACTTGTGTTACTGGGCTCAGCAAGATGGAAGAGAGATTGAAAGGATCTGATGATGTGCTTGTATTTTAATGAGAAGACAGTGTTTGATTGATATCAATGTGAGATTTAGAAAGGAAGTTAAAAAAAAAAAACCACTCATCAACAGTCAGGGCAGAGGCTTGCAGGGTGGCTTGGATCTGGCTCTGCTGTTGGGTCCAGTTGCTATTCTTGCCTGGAAGTCTCCCTCAGAGTCCCTGCCCCTCCCTTTTTTCTAGCCCCAAATCCCCACCCACTGACTCCTCCTGCCCCTCCCCTCCAGGTGCCTCGCCTTGTCCAAACACCGGGGTACCATCTGATCTTGTCCTTTTCCCCCTAACACCCCGATCTCCCACCAGGTTACCCTGTTGCTGAGGTGTTCACAATGAAGCCCCTGGAGTTTGGCAAACCCAACACGCTGGTCTGCTTTATCAGTAATCTCTTCCCGCCCATGTTGACAGTGAACTGGCAGCATAATTCGGTCCCTGTGGAAGGAGTTGGGCCCACTTTTGTCTCAGCTATAGATGGACTCACCTTCCAGGCCTTTTCTTATTTAAACTTCACACCGGAACCCTATGACCTTTTCTCCTGCATCGTGACTCACGAAATTGACCGCCACACAACATTTGCCTATTGGGGTAAGACCCCTTTTCCGCCACAAGACTGGTCCTTGGAGGGCAAAGAGGGGTTAGACCCATTGGAGGGGCCTTCTTTCTCTACTTGGGCCTCGTTTAGAACACTCTTGCTCTAGCCAACCCTGATCTCCCATGCCCGAGTTTCTCTTTCATCATCCCAGCCACCTAAGTCCTTCCTCTGGGGAGAGGACTCCCTAGCCAGGTGTCCAGGCTGACCTGTCCCTCTCCTTTTCCAGTGCCCCAGAATGCCTTGCCTTCAGATTTCCTGGAGAATGTGCTGTGTGGCATAGCCTTTGTCCTGGGCGTGCTGGGCATCATTGTGGGCACTGTCCTCATCATCTATTTCCGGAAGCCTTGCTCAGGTGGTATGTCATCTGGAGGGATGGGTGAGCCAGATGGAGTGGTGCATGCGTGGGCATGCCAGGATCATCCTGTGGCATGGGGGAGGGTGTCCAGTGATTGACAGACCCCTCGGTGTGGGGGCCTGTGTCCAGCACCACAGGGGCACATCCTCCTGGCTGGGGACCCAGTCATACAGTTATGCATCATGGGAATGGCTTTGAGTGGGGGAGGAGTGGTATGGGGACTTGTAGGGAAGGTGCTTGGAGATGATTTGGGAAGAAGGAGAGACCAGTCTGAGGAGGGTGTGCTGGGGGCAGAGGGAGGCCTTTGGGGAGGAGGGGATCCTTCTAATGGCTTTCCTCCATCCCTCTCTCCTCAGACTGATTCTTTTTGATCAGAGTTTGATGCCAACACCTTCAGCCATTCAAGCAGGGGAATCCTCAGGTTTCTCACATCCTGCCCAAGATCTTTCTTCAGAAAAGAAGTCCCTGGGACTCCCCCGGGGGAGTGTGCATGTAGGTTTTTCAGCGGGAGGCTCTGCTGTTCCTGAGTTTGCATCCAGAGGAGCCCAGAGTGGCCTGTCACAATGACACCTTCTTACTTCAGGCAATAAATCTCAGATTATTTTTATCAGTGTAGCGTCTTTCTTTTTCTCTTCTTTTCTTTCTTTTTTTTTTTTTTTGTAGTACTGGGGATGAAACCCTGGCCCCGGGCATGCTGGGCAGTTGCTCTGCCACTGAGCGCCCCCCAGCCCATCCCCCCCTCCAGTGTAGCGTCTTTCTTAACCCATGATGTTTGTTCCTGGAGACCTCAACTTGAGTGGGTTGTCATTTCAAATGAGACATGCCTTGGCCTGAACACAGCTTGCCCTCATTAGGGAGGGAAACAGGGAAAACCCCCTCCCTCCTCGGCTCCTTAGCTGAGAACTCCTTTTCCCTGGTCCCAACGTGACGACAGCTTTTACTCCTCTCAGCTTGTGCAAAATACCTGAAGGATAAGAACTACTTTCTGATAATCTGCTCACAAAATGGTTGAGAAAGCTGCATATTTTTTTGTACTCTACTTGTGAAAATGACTGTCTAGTGCAGGCTTCCTTGAGGAACACATAACCCCCTCCAACCCCACCATAATTGGACAAATAGGAGCTCAGGAGTGGGAAGGAGAAGACCCCAAATGTTCTTCTGACTCCATCAGATTGATTCTGTTTGGAGTGGCCTAGGGTAAAGAATTCATGGGTCCTTCCCAACCATCTGTTCTTTAGCCTAAGTGAACTGTCCAAGGAGAACCATGACAGTGCTGTCCTGGGCAGATAGCAAGAGTGGGCGGCGCGTGATCACTGGTGGGAAATTGCTTTGCATGTGCTTTATCTCTTACTTCCCTTGTTTCTCACTCCATTCTGGAAGTTGCTTTGGAGGATAGGATGGCATTAAGATGAAGAGTGAAATTATTTTGGTCTTGGTAAGGGAGTCTGTGTTCTTTGAATTGTATCAGAGTCTAATTGAGGGGAAAATATCCAATTCATTCCAGGAGTTAGAATGTCCCCTGAACTATTTTGTTTTTAAGAGCAGCATGTAAACTGGTTAAAAAGTATGAACTCCAGATCCAGACTGACGGGAATTCAATCAAGACTCAATTTTTAGAGGTGTGACCTTGGACAAGTCACTTAACCTCTCTGTGCCTGGGTGTCATTTTCTCTAAAAGGATGATCGTAAAAATTGTGTCCAGCTTATAGGTTGTTATGAATCTTAAACAAGTTAATATATGTAGAATGCTGAGAATAGAGTTTGGCATATAGAAAAGGAGCACAGCGACTTAGCATTATCACTGTCTTGAATTTCACAAAGCTTAGTAGCACCATTGACTTTTTTTTTCTTTTCTGAAACACTTTGAATCTACCTTCAGTATTGTATTCTTTCTTTATATGTTTTTATTCTCATTTTATCTCTCTGAATCAGACCCTTGTCTAGTTCCTCCTAATTTCTGTTCTATTTTCCAATGTATGCAGCAATTTCCTGCTAGTCTAAGCTTACAATTGCTTTTTCCGTGTGATCTGATCTTAGACAAGTCACTGTCCCTCTCTGGGTCTCAAATTCCTCCTCTGTCAAATAATGGACTTAGATTAGATGCTTTCTCATCAAACATTTGATGACATTGTCACTTAAACAGTCTAAAAGCATTTAAGACCCTCTCTGATCTTGTGTACTTCTTCTATCAGAGAAATATTACCCATATGCCCAACATGGATCCCATCCTGGTGCTTCACATGGGCTGGGCAAGCGGTCTACCACTGAGCTACACCCCCAGCCCAGGAATCCCATTCTTGGATGAACCTTCTCTCTGTTCCTCCTTTAGAGCATTTCTCCACGCTCTTTCCTCTCACTCAATGCCTTCTTCACTCTGTTCAGCTCATTCCCCTCTTAACCAACTGGAGGTCCAGCTCACCTTCAACCTCTTCGTGAACTTATCTGAATCCTCCAGCCCTAACTGATTGATCTTTATGAAACTCGTCCCAATCTTCGAGCTCTCAACCCAGACTTTACTCTCAAATATATGTGGCCTTGTTTCCTAATATTACTTTTTTTTTTCACTCAGCCAGTTATAGTTTCTCTAATTCAAAACTCAGAAATGATTTACTATCACAGCAAGATAGTTCTCATTTCCCTTTGTCTTCATTAACACTTGACATATTTGACTTTCAAATGTTGGCCACATGGTGGTTGTAGAGTGGTATCTCATTGTTTTAATTTGCCTTTCTCTCACTCCTAGCAAGGCTGGTCTTCTTTCCATAGAGTTCTTTCTCTGTGAATCGTTGATTAATATCTTTTGTCTATTTGAAAATGACATTTTCTGTCTTTTTGTCATGCATTTGGGGATATGTGTATTCTATGTAATAACCTTGGGTGGTATGGATATTTCTAATGCCTTCTTCCAGTTTGCTGCTTTTCAACTAACTTTGCATAAAATTCTTTACCTGAATAGAATTATCTAATTTTGGCAGTCAAAACCGTGTGGTCTCATGCTATTGGTTTTAGATTGCAAATGATTGACTGGTTGAATGATTTTTTTTTCTGTTTATAAAATGGAAGCTTAAGTTAAAACCATCTGTCCAGAAGAGGAACCTGAGAATGTACACTGAGTGGTTTTAGGAAGTGCCCAGAAGAGCTTCATATTGTTATGGCCATACTTTCAGGAAAAGACAAATGACTTCTTTTAACAGGCAATTGCAGTGATGATGGTAGCTCGTTTCTGTTTCAGCCCACCATGTGCCTTGTAGACCCCCTCCAGCGTCTCATGCCACTATTAGGTTTGGGGGCTATGTGCCAGGACTGCAGTGCCAACTACCTTCCTCTCCCACATGGATCCAGCCCAGTGGCTCACCTCCAGTGTCCCTGGATCTAGAGAACTCCCTGCCCGTCATGCCTACAACCACTTCTTTCCCCCCTTTTAAGTCCACCGACTTTATTCCTTTCTTGTTTTAACATCAACTCTTCTTTCTATAGGTGTTTGTTCCCCCTCCCCAGCTGACCTCAAGCAAGATGATATGAAGGCAGTGTCCCTATCTCCCACCAGACATTCCCCGTTGCACTTCGCACATAAATACTGGGGTTCATTCACTGCAGGAATATGGTACCAGGCTAGGGGAAGAGGCAGCAGGAAAGCAGAAGACTCATCCTGTGGGTCTTGCATAGTGGCCTTAAAAGAAGGATACGTGTGGGAATCTGCCTAGAGTTCCACTCCTTCCTATTGCTGCATAAATCATGATCAAAAAAGCAACAATGGACAGGACAGTTGAAATATCATTTTGAGTTGGCTGGAAGTGGGAAGACAGAACTACATCTGTAAAAATAGTGGTTGGGAGAAGAGGAAAGAAGAAACTGCTTCACTGAGCACAGGTCTCTGGGTGGTTTTTTCTCCAGCCTTATTCTAAAAATCTCTCAGTGTTCACATGAATAGAGAAGCGAAATCTCCTCCTACCATTTCCTGCTGCTGCTGCTTCACAAAAGGTTTCACATCTCCTTTGACTGTCAGAGCCAGACCCAGTCACAGGAGGGAACTCCGCTCAGCCTCACTACCACAGGTGATGGCCACATCCTGATGGCACGGGACTGCATAGCACGCAGTCCTTTGCCAGGGACAGGCTTTGTAGACTTTGAAAAGGATGCCAAGACCTGGCTCCTGCAAGTTCAGGCTCACGGAAAGGATGGGGAGGAATGTGAGGAGGAAGTTTAGGTGGGGGGGGGGCAGGATTTGCATAATTTTGAAACTGTCATAAGAGAAAGTGGGCTGAACGTGGTGACTCATGCCTGTAATTCTAGCTACTTAAGAGACCGAGGCAAGGGGATCACAGGTTCTAGGCCAGATTGGGCAAGTTAGTGAGACCTGTCTCAAAAAAAAGGTGGGGTGGTGGTGTCTGGGGATGTAGAACAGAGGTAGAGCGTTCCCAGCTTCAATCCCCAGTACCAAACAAACAAGAGAAAAACAACAAGAGAAAAAAATGAAAACCAGAAAGTAGATGAGAGTGGTTTTAAAAGCAGAAGGAACTCTGCRCACAGGAAAGACGAATCTTGGATGGATTGGGTGTGGATTGTGGCCCTTTTCTTCCTCCTTTTCTCAACAGAGTTCTTACTAACTTCCCTTATTTGGGCCATCCCAGTTCCAGGAGGTATTTAAGTATGTGAGCACACTTGTTAATAGCTGAAGAGGGAATGAAGCTTGGCACTGTGTGTGTGTGTGTGTGTGTGTGTGTTAGAATAAAATAAGTTAAATCCTCTAGACCTTAGATGTGAATCCCTGGATTGTTTTCAAATCTATAAAATGAAGACAGTTGAGCCAGGTGTGGTGTTGCATGCCTGTAATCCCAGTTCCTTGGGAGGCTGAGGTAGGAGGATTGCAAGTTTGAAGCCAGACTCAGAAGCTTAGCAAGTTCTAGGCAACTTAGTAAAATCCTGGACCTTGTCTCAAAATAAAAAATAAAAAGGGCTGGGGATGTGGCTCAGTGGTTAGGTGTCCCTAGATTAAATTTTAAAAAAAGAAAAAAAAAGAGAATAAATGAAGACAGTTAACAAGTCTTTTAAGATTAAATGAGATAGCATTTAAAAGACCTACCTAGAATAGTATCTGTTACAAAGCTGAAATTCAACAAATTCTGGACCCACCACCTGGGTTCTGCCTACTTAAACACACCTGATGGTTCCTTACAGGGGTCAGAGTCTATAATCAAGGTGGGCACAAAGCATGGGTATAGTTGGGAAATATAGGCAGAATTTCAGTTAATCTTAATTAGTTACACAAAATAAATCTTTTGTTCCTGACATTAATCTTTGAATTCATTTTTGGTACATTTCCCCCCCACCCCTTTTTCTTCATAAATACCAGATTTTCTTGAGCTCAGGGACTTTGGTAGTGGGCAGGTAAGTGTGGTGTTGGGGGACTCCCTCCTGACCCTCTTCTGTTTAGTCTGCTATTAAATCCAACAGCTTTCAGAAWCTAAGGTGAGAACAGGTAGCCCTGTTGCTTGCTGGGGAGCAGAAGGAAGTCAATTTAGGGTTTTAAGTTTAGGATGAAAAAAATTCATCAACTGTATAGTTCACATTGGGGTAA